AAATAAAATCAGAAAAAGGAAGAGAAGAAGAAGAAGAAGAAGAAAGGAAGAAAGGAGAAGAGGATGAAAGAAAGAAGCGTGAGGGTCGGATTTATGCGCAGGGAGGAACTGAGGTCTACCGGATCTGGTCACCGGCGTTGGAGGAGACCAGTGGACGACCCGAAAAAGGAGATCCGGCGAGGTGCTCGGAAATGAGAGCCTGCGACCGCCCCCGCCCGCCGGCCTAGAGCGGCGACGCCAGCGGTTTTCACGAAATGGAGGGTGGCAGCCTTGAGGAGATGCGGAGAAAAGGCCTCTTTTTTTTTTTTTTTTTTTTTTTTTTTTGTAACCGTTTCTTTATTTTTTGGGAGAGAGAGAGAGGGAGGAGAGTTACAGAAAAAGAAGAAATTTTTTTTTAATAATAATAATTCTCCGCATCTTTTGTCAAATACGTCATTGCAGTGAAATGAACTTCTCCCCTAGGTAAATTCGACGTTCCGGACGCGACCGCACTGTCCGTTTTGTCGTCTGGGGTTGTTCGGACCACTTATTTTAGCAATCGGGACGAAAATAAAAATTCACGTATTTTTAGCCCGCACGCGAAACCGTGGTCTAACGAGCGTCTGTCCTAAGCGGAATCGACATTTCCACTCGATTTCGGACTCACTCGCGTGGTCTGTTTCGTCGTTCGAGGTCGTTCAGACCACTTTTTCAGCAAACGATCCAAGATGATAATTTGTGTATTTTTAGCCCGTATTTGAATCGTTAATGACATAGACACCCTCCTTAAGTAATATCGACGTCCTGAACATACATGACATCAAAAAAAAAAAATATGATGCCAACACACATGTCTCGAAATAAATCTAATAATTTTAGGCATATCTTAACCAAAATTATATGAGGATATTTTGAGACATTTTCTTCTTATTAAAATTTTTCTCCCAAAGCTTTATGGATATTTATCATTATTTGTAATATATGTATGTGTGTGTGTGTATAATTGTGAATGTTAAAAATCTCTATGATAAAACAATAAAGTTATGAAATTTCAGCCCTTTGAAATATAATTTAATATTTTTTTAAAAGATAAATTTGTTTGAACAAATTCTTCAAGTATAACTTTCTAGAGAATGACAATCAATTCACGCATACAATGAGTTAGTTATGGCATCAAAATCAATCTCCATCTTTGTCTTTACTACATAACATGTGAGGATCTCGCCTCTCATCTAGGTTTGTATGACAAATAATAATCTTACTTCAATTTTATCATGAATGTCTTATAGAGAACCTATGGATGATCCCACAAATAATCTTAGATGGTCATATAAAGGTTTCATAGGAATTCCAAGAATATTTGTGAAGATCAGAATTTTAACCATCGAACCTCACCATACACATCTCTGTCAAAAATCTATTTTTTCTGTAAAAAGAATGATTGAACCAAGAACCAACAATCCCTCACTCCAATTTGTCTAAATCTATTGAATTTGATTCTAAGGATTATTTAGGCAAAAAGAGGGACGTAAAGAATGGAATACTAAAGTATCAAAAATATTTTTTGATGTAAAAAGAATGATTGGAGCAATGTCTTTTCTCTTCCTTCATTTTGTTTGACTCTGTTGAATTTACTTTGAAGTTGTATATAAACAGAAAGAATAATAAATTTGTCTGGAACTGAATAAGCAACTAAAAATTCAATTGAATGCTAACTATTATGTTGATAAAAAAAATGTTGTAAAGGAGGAGCAATGATCATTCTCATCCTCCAAGTTCTCTAATTTTGGTTAATTTGATTCTAAGGAGCATTTAAGTTGTGAAATGCTAAAGAAGAAAAAAATAGTGTCTATAAATACACGTGTGACACTAGATAAATGACTACAAAATAACTATTGTGACCAGAAACATGATGTGAAGATAGATCCTTTTAGAGTTTCTAAAATTCATAAATTATCTTACATAAATTTTATATTGTGTGTTTTTTATTAAGGAAAAACATTAAAATGGTCATGATTTTTATCTTCTAAAGATCGAGTTGTTACTGATTGAATCATAAAGATATCATGTTATCAAGGTAGAACGTAACATTTATTAAAAAAAATAGATGATCACATATTGAAAGAAAGTTGGATAAGTCATTATGGGATAAAATATTGATGTTGCCTAAATATGTTTCATTTTTCTCAATTTGGTGTTCATATTAGAAGCATAATTTCTAGATCTTCTAATATTAATTTATATTTCAATATTATAGGTCATTGTTAGCTTGTCAAAAGTTGATTCTAATTGCTTTTAAACCTAAGAAATTCTAACATTCAAGATAAAAAAAAAATATTATTCCAATTGTAAAGTAAATGATATGAACATTATATATTGATGTGGTGTTTTGATAATGCTATGTGATCTTTGTCTGTCACCATTTCATCCAACTTGTCTTGATCTAAAGATACTTTAATTTACTCTTTTTTGAACTAAGGTAATTTTTAAGAATCCATAAATTTACTAAGACAAATAGAATAAAATGCTGATGAACGTAGATCACATAACATAATTAGATCACAATCCCAACTGAAAATGCATATATCATCCATTTCATGATTAGAATAATCACTTCTTAATCTTGCATGTTAGAATTTCTTTGGCTTAAAAGCATTTAGAATCTTATTTTAATAAGTTAATAATGATATATCATTTTATTATATAATTACTGATAGAGTGTCTATAAATTTTGCATCCAACATGAGCACTAAACTAAGAAAGATGAAACACGTTTAGAAAACACTGACATTTAATCATATCATGCCATATTCATCATTCTTTCAGTATTTGACCATCTATTTTTTTAACAAATCCTACCTTCTGTATTGGCAGCATGACATCTTTATTAATCAATCAGATAACAATTTGAATTTTTAGATGATAGAGAACCAAGGCTCATCGTGATCTTTTGCATGAACGCAAAACACGTGATATGAAACTTCTGTTATATGATTTATGAAATTTAGAAACACTGAAATGATTTTTATTTACAATATTTCTGATCATAATAATTACTAGTCTTTTATGTTTTTTTAACATCCTGTTTCTGCCTAAATGATCCATAGAATCAAATTCACCAAAATCAAATAAAATTGACTATGTTTCTTGGTTAAATCTTTCTTTTTGCGTCACATTATATTAATATGATAAGAGATCGAGTCCTCATCAATCTTCATAGAATTTTCATGAGATCTTTAAGGGATCATCAAAGAGTATTTGTGGTCTCCATAGCACCTTCATGACAAAGATGAAGGTCTCCATTATTCCTCAAGTGAAACTATACAAGAGATTGAATTCTCCTACAATCAAAGATAAAACTTGATTTTGATGTCTTAATAAACAAACTTTATGCAAGAATTATTGCATAAAACAAAATATAAACTATATTGATAATATTTTAAGAATTTATTTTCTTAATGAAGCTGCTAATTTTTTTCTGAATGGCTACCTATTCACAGCTATAATGATTCAACATATTGATTAAAATGTACATAATAATTGATATAATAATTAAAGCATATCACATTATATGATTAATACATATGTCATATTATAATATAAGTTAGTTCAATTGAGAAGTATTTTAAAATCATCATTAAAATTTTAAATTTAAATAAATTAATACTAGAAAACCGGTGGCCGTCAAAACAATGCATTACTAGGAAAAATTATTCCGTGCGGACACCACTTGCAGAGATGCATGCGTTGTCCGATCTCCACCGTCCACCACAGCTTCGGTGGGATTTTTTTTTTTTAACAAAAATTGAAAATGGACTCCACCAAAGCCGTGATGGACGATGGAGCGGTGTCCGCAAGGAATAATTTTTCCATTACTAGAGAAGCTTTTTGCATGATGGGGGAGGGTGGCAGGCAGTATTACGATGATTGCATGGCTTAATACATGTGGGAGCTGCATGTGAAGTGAATGAGAGGAGATGATAACATAATTTTTATAAGCTTGTATAAAAAAGTTGGTTTTATACACATCTTTTTCTTGGACTGTTTATATCTGCTTGTGCTCATTTACTTGGATTGCTCGTTGGAACTAACATACATTTTCTAGGGTTGTTTATGTATTTTTGTGTTACGATTATCCTGTTTTACTCGTTAGACTGTTAGGGTGCTTTATCAAACTTAGCTACCTGCAGTGACTACTTGAAAATTCTTGCCCGACCATTTAAAAAATGTTTTTTTAGTAGACATCGAAACTTTTCAAACAACAGATTTTTTTTCAACAGCTTTACAATTGCTTCTTTAAACAGTTGCAACTGCCCTAAACAGACCCTCAGGGTAACACTAATTTTTCTATCCTACCTTATAATTTCAACTAATTTAAAAAATATAAGTAATAAAAAAAACATAAAATCACAACCCTTTGGCTAAATAATCAATAAAATTAATTAGAAATTATAGGCTAATTGAGCCTTTTCAGTTTCATATATATATATATATATATTAAATAAAAGAATTTCTTAATGGCCACAAGCGCACAACGCCCAAATCTATAGGCTCCACACCATCCTAAAACCTCAAAAGCTGATTTTAGCACGTACCTAAAATAATCAATGGCGCATTTACATTCATATCTAACATTTAAATTTTATTTTTACATTTATACCACCTCGACCTCTCATCTCACGTGAAAATATAATCATTTTATTTTCTTAAAAAGAAAAAAAAAATTACATATTAATTTTTATGAATTTTTAAATTTTATTTTTGATATGATACCGAAGAAATGTAAATATGAAAGTTTTGATATGAGATATGTAAATCCATAAGATTTGAGTGCTATGTATGTAAATGCCCCTCAGGTTCTAGGTATGTAAATACATAGGAATGCAGGGGTGTGTATGTAAATGCACAAATCACGGCCAAGAATAGAAGGCGCGAAAATTAAGATCCGATTCGCGCGCTTAGCTTCGCATTAAGAAAATAAAAAAATATTGCAAATTTAAATTCAAAAAAAAAAAAAAAAAAAGAAATCTTAGCGCGAGGCCGCTCTTCTTCGTCTTCTTCTTCTCGATGTCTCTTCTGATCGGCGGCGGAAAATTCAGTTCATCATCTCAAGGTATTGAAACAATAATTCGATTTTCCGATATGTAGCTCCAGCCTCTCCCTGCTATAATCGATTTTCTATACATCGCCGTTCTGTTTCTTTATCTTCGTGTGTTTCTGTTCTGTGTTTTTCCCGGGCTTTGAATCTCGGATGGCGATGCCCTAACAGGGCTTTGATTCAATGTTATTTGAAGATTGTGTCTGATTTTCCCTTCTTTTTCTTCCTTCCATGTCGCATTTCTTGTTCTTCCTTTTTTTTTTTGGTGATTTGATATTTCACTTGTGATTTTAATCATTAGAATTGAGTTATTCAAATCGATTCCCTAAAAAAAAAATGAAGGATAAACGCATTGGAAAACTTCAATATTACAAAATTTTGTTTCCTAATTTTTAACAGGTAAATATTTGTCGATTTTAGAAGTTAAATTAGCGGTATTTTTGACGTGATATGAAAGGTTTTGGTGGTATGAATGTAAAATGTAGAGTTTAGGTGTTAGATTTGTAAATACATGAGATTGGGTGGTAGTGTGCATATAAATGCTCCTTGATTATATTAAGATGAAATTTGAGATGTGGGATGAATATTGGATTCCTTCCCTGTAATATTGATAAGGGAAAAGGTAGAATGGACCATTCTTAAAGGGGATAAGAATGATATGTTCAGCCATATTCTATTACTGGTAATTCTTAAATAAGCAAAATATGAAGATATTATTATTTGGTAGATAAATTCTCATACATATCACAAAGTCTCATGTAATTACATATCTAACAACTAAAGTTTGATAGTTGCACATAAGTCATGATCACATGAAAATGTATGCACGAAAGGGTGTATTCATTTCAAAAAAGTTAGTGATGGTGGTATTTATGATTTGATATTAAAGATTTAGATTTGTATAGGTAAATATTAAAATTTAAGTGTTAGCTATTTAAAAATATTAGAATTGTGTGGTTGGTTTGAGCAAAATGATTAAAGGATCATGCAAATAGTGTTAGAAATTCTAAGCATCTTTTGGAAAGTGGATTTTTTTTTTTCTTTGCTCATGAAGGGGGTAACCATTTGCTCTTCTTGTGGAAAGATTCGTCTTTATTGGGGCGACGGACTCCTTATTTATTCTTTTTGTTTGTACATAAGCTTGCAAGTTGCTGTAATAAAAAGAAACAAAATTGAAGGGTTTTAGTGTAACACCCAAATTTAAGAGATCAGGTAAAAATTTTGGTGCTTGAAAAATATACCTCAAATTTTGCATCTCTTGAAATTCAACTAATTCAATTTTATAAAATTTTACAAGTTAAATTGATCAATCTGATATATAACACTAAGCGCAAATTTTTAGCGTGTGAGAAGATATAAATTATGAAGTTATAAGTTTAATTATCTTTAATTAATCTTAATTATTCTCCTTAATCTTGATTCATTCCTGTAGCTAGCCGACCTTCTTTCCATTTACGTGCGCATGCATCATTTGGATGTAGTCGAACATCTAAAAATTTTTTGGGGTCACGTTAATTGCTGTGCTCCTTTTATGTCCTCCATCTCTCAGTTTGGATATTAAGTGAGACTATTCGAAACATTTTTTTCATTATGAATTTGAATATTTTAGATTTTTAATTTATTAAAGAAAAGTTGTAGGTTTATTTTCTCCGGATTATGATTTAAATTTTACTAAAAATATTTTATTATTTCTATTTTGCAAAAAAGCAAAAGAAGAAGTTATATTGGAATTTGACAAAATTTGACTTGTTTAATTATTATTCAATTAGTGTTCATTGATGTATTGTATTTTATTATTTATATTATACTTTTTATTTTATCAAATGGAATGAGACATGAGGTTGATGCTGACTCTTAAGTCACAAAAGATTTTTCCAGAAAATCTTTTTCCAATGTAACATGTAATAGTAAACCTACTTAGATTCTCGAGTATTTGTGATAATTTTTATTGCAGAGTATTGCTTCATTCCTCAATTAGGACCACATTTTCAAAATTTCCTAGTTTCCTCTTTTTCTAAGTATATGAGTTATGAACTTTATGTAACAACCCATCCGCTCAAGGGATTTAGTGTGTGAAATATTGATTGTATGTTTTTTGAAAACCTCTAGCAACTTGGTAGATTGTTGATCAAAATTTTATTTCAAGAGCATTTGAAGAAAAGATATGGTTGTCTCTCTTTTACTATCCCAAAAAGCTATATTATTAAGTCTAAGGTCAGTTTTTCATTATGGCTTGTGGGCTTGGGATCTGGCTTTTTAGGTTTACTCTCCTTCATAGGGACATCTTACCACTCTAATGGTTTTACACTACTCGACATTTTGATCTCGTGGAATCATTTTGGTGTTGTTGGGAGCATCTATAAGGGTCTATTACAAATGTAGCTAATTGCCCAATTTGATTCTCCATTTTTCTTATGTTAGAAGCTTAATTGTGTATTTTGTCCTCTATCTATAACACCTATTCCTCTAATGTGGATTTCTTTTTCTTAAGTTGTGAATTATAAGTGAATCTAGGCGTGTAGGTCTGTCTCAGGTTACTACTGCCTTGATAGTTCTAATTTCTTATAGGGCTAGCTTGGGTGTTCCCCAACTGTTGGTTTTTTGCCCCTGAGTTGTTATTGCTTGAATTGAAATTTGGGTGATTTTTTCAGTCTGGGTTATATGTATTAAAATTAATATTGTTGAACTTGTTTTCTACGAAATTCATAATTTCTAATGCAGTAGCGATCTAATATTCTACTAGTCCATAAATCGTTCTATCACTTGGTAGATATTCTGACATAGAATTCATCATCCCAAAATTGTTCAACTTCCTAGAGTTGATAACAACTTGTGGGATTAAGATAGTTAGAACATCAGTTTCCTGCACACTAGCTAATTTTTTTGGGGCAACTCTATAAAACATCCATTAAAAGTTGTTTTTTGTTGTTTCCTCAATTATTGAGTAAGCTTCATTAAAAGTTTTTGACAATAAGAACCCTCAACTGTAGCGGTTATGATCGACTTTAAGGATTCCACCAGCCCATTATAACATATTTTGATTATTGACACGCCTAAAAATTACCTACTTTTTCATATATATTATGCTCAATTTTAATGATTTTTAATGATATTACACTTTAAAGGAAGGTATTTTGCATATTTTTGGTTTCAGGTACAAGAAATAGACTTGTGGAGAAAATGAAGCAAAAGTGGTGCAATTTGGAGTAAAAACGAGCAAGAAAGAAAATTCTGACTTGACACATTTCGATATGTCTTTCTATGATTAATCTACTCTACATTTCTCACATGTTTTTGAATGAATTACATCTTAAAGAATTGTTGTTTTTATGCTTATTTTGTACGTATATTTGTTAGGAGCGAAATGCAACTGAAACAGGGCGAAACAGAGCAAAACGGAGTAGCTGTTGTAGGTTGGCGCTCGAGGCACAAAAATCCAGAGAATTGGCCCCTGAGGGGCTAGAACTGGTGTCAGAAGTGCCATAGACGATATAAGAAGGATTAAGGCGGTTCAGGACAAATTTTGAGTAGATTTTGAAGGCTTCAAATGATTCAAACGCCTAATGGAGTGATTCAATGCATCTAAATACTTTGAAAATCACTTTGGAAGGCTCTTTAACGAAGGGATATGTCTCTTGAATGAATGGACAAGTCTTTTGGGATTCAAAATGTGTGATTTTTGGAGAAAAATTTGGAGGAAATTTTGAATTTCTTTTGAAAGGAGGCAGCCCCTAATTAAAAAGGAGAGGAGTCTAGGGCATGAGGGCGGCATGAGATAGAGAAGGTTTTGGAGAAGAGAGGATTTTCTTCTAGGGTTGTAAGAGGAGAGGGAATGTGAGAGATTTCTTCTTCATTATATTTCTATGAGTGTGATTGTAAAGAGAGAAAGTGCTTAAAGGGAACTTTTCGAGATTTGCTTGGAAAAGAGTGTGAGATAAGTTGTGTTCTTTTCTTTCTTTGTTTTGTAAGTTTGTTTTTATATATAAAATCCGTGTTTTGTCGTATCCTTCACATGAATTCTGAGTAGTCTTCTTTATCCTTCTCCCTACAATGAAATTTGATTTTGTGAATAATTAATTTTATTATGGAAGGTTTTTAATGTAAATAAACTGTGATGATTCAAACTCTTATCTTCTTTTAATTTTCGATTTAGCCAATTGAAATGTTAAAATTTATTAAGAAACATAAGATCCGAAAGAGCTATGCCTTCTACAACAAAGTAAGAGTCACATTCAATTTCATGGGTGAGAATGTAATCCATGCGGTTGAGTGCAAATAAATAGGGAAATATACTTTGTTGGACGCAGAATTGGAGATTTTAAGGTGATAGATTAAAATCCTCAATTTGGTCCAGTTGATTGGAAACTAATGTGAGATTGTTAGCCCTCAGGCGAGGGAGAAGTAAGAGCTTTATAGTGAGAGCTGGTATCCTCTCAACCTAACCATGGAATTAGAGACCAAACTCTGGATTAGTCAATATTCTTTATGCACTTGACAGAGGGTAAAAAATATAATTGCTTCTATTTGACACAATACAAATTTATATATAATTTTAAATGATTTTAATTACTTCACTAACCATGTACTCATTGTACATGGGAATGATGATTTCTTTAATTTGAACTATTCATTATAAAACTTTATTTAGTCTTAGTAAATTTAACTTTGAAGTGTAAAAATTAATTTAATAAACTTAGTTCTTTTAGTTACATTTCTGTTAGCATTAATTACACTTATTTTAACTTGTGTTTCTTATTTTAATTTTCTATAGTTTGAATATTGTAATTTATGTTATTATCATAAAAATTTTCATCTTCCAAACTAAAACTTGATAGTAGTAGACTAGAATTAGTCTAAGAGATTTCTTACTACGCTTCTCTGTGGGATTGATATTGGGTTTTTAAAGAAAGTCATATATTACTTGAAGCGATACGTGCACTTGCATTACTTGAAGCGTATATTACTTGAAGCGATACGTGCACTTGCATAGAACTCCTAGTGTGTAAACTTTTTTA